CACACACACACACACACACACACACACACACACACACACACACACACACACACACACACACACACACACACACACACACACACACACACACACACACACACACACACACACACACACACACACACACACACACACACACACACACTCTCGGATGTTTACATGCATGTATGGGTGTGTTTATGAGTGATAATGATGCTGCTGATGATAAGAGGTCGAACACAATTTCTGAAACACCCCTGTGAACACCAGACAGCACACCTAAATAAAGTCCTTGTGGAATAATAAGTAAAACCTTCAAATAAAAATGTAGTTTATTTTTCTTAAAGTCTGCCTGAACAGGAAGTTGCAGAGACCTTTATGTCAGTGTGTCGATGTACTCCCGACTGAACATGAATATTAATTAGGGGACGGAGCTTTCTTTTTGTGCATCATTCTCTTGTAGCACAGTGAGAAGGGGTGTGGCTAGAATTAAGATGGGCGTGGCTAAGAATACTCTGTCTAACTTGCAGGATGTCACGGTGGCGCAGTGGGTAGCACAATTACCTCACAGCAAGAAGGTTGCTGGTTCGAGCCTCGGCTGGGTTCATTTGGCGTTTCTGTGTGGAGTTTGCACGTTCTCCCCATGTTGGTGTGGGTTTCCTCCGGATGCTCCGGTTTCCCCCACGGTCCAAACACATGCGCTATAGGGGAATTGGGTATGCTAAATTGTCCATAGTGTATGTGTATGAATGAGTGTGTGTGGATGTTTCCCAGTGATGGGTTGCAGCTGGAAGGGCATTCGCGGTTCAAAACATGTACTGGATAAGTTGGCGATTCATTCCACAGTGGCGACCCCTGATAAATAAAGTGACTAAGCCGAAAAGAGAATGAACAAATGAATAAATGAAAGAAGGTTGAAACAGTCGGCATAGACAGATAACCACACGTGTTAGCATGTTTCTAGTATGGATTGGCATGTTTCTTGCTAGGTTGCTAAGGTGTTGCTAGGTGGTTGCTATGGTGTTCTGAGTAGTTGCCAACCCCTTACTAGGCTGTTCTGAGTGGTTGCCAACCCCTTATTAGGGTGTTAGGGTTAGGGTTGCTAAGGTGTTAGGCGGTTGCTAGTGTATTCTGAGTGGTTGCGAAGACATTGCTAGGGTGTTTTGAATGGTTGTTAAAGCTTTGGTAGGTGGTTTCTAAGATGTTTTGAGTAGTTGCTAAGGCGTTGCTAGGTTGTTCTGAGGGGTAGTTAAGACATTGCTATGGTGTTTTGACTCGTTAAAGCATTGCTAGGTGGTTGCTAAGTTGTTCCGAGTAGTTGCTAAGGCGTTGCTAGGCGGTTACTAGGTTGTTCTGAGTGGCTGCTATGGGGTTAATAAGGTGCTTGCTAGGGTGCTCTAGATGGTTGTTAAGGTGTTACTAGGCGGTTGGTAGGGTATTCCGAGTAGTTGCTGAGTAGTTGCTAGGGTGTTATGAGAGGTTGCAAGTGTGTTCTAGGTGGTCGCTAAGGCATGGCTAGGTGGTTGCTGGGCGGTTGCTAACATAAAATTACCATAGTATAAACTAGCATGTTGCTAACATTTTTCAAGCATAAATTATCATTTTAACATGGTTCTAGTATAAATTAGCATGTGGCTAGCATGTTTTTAGCATAAACTAGCATGTTATTAGCATGAATTTAAAATGCATTAGCATGTTTCTAGTATGTTTATAGAATAAATTAGCATGTTGTTGGTGTGTTTATAGTATGAATTAGCATGTTGCTAGTATGATGAGTATGTTTGTTAGTATGTTTCTATGATGGATAGGTGTATTGTTAGCATGAATTGGTCTGTTGTTAGTATTAGAGGTCTGCAATCCGACCACATTTCTGCGGCGCGGGAATAAATTTCCGAATAAAGCGCGGGAGCGGTCGGTAACGGGATTCAAAATTCAGTCCCGCACAGATCTCTAGTTAGTATGTCCAATGTAAAGTCAATGGCATTTTTTTTTACAATTGAAGTCTATAGGACAGTTATTATGGCACCATAAGGGGTTGCTAGGGTGCGGCTAGTAAGTTGAAAGGTCATTAGTGATTGGCAGATTGGTAGTCTGAGTTGAAGGAGACCAGTCTTGAGTCTGTATGACAGTCTGGCGCAAAGTTATGAGGTGAGAGATTTTGGTCCACTGTTAAGTCAATGGGACTTTTCCAAATTTTCCAGGTCAGTTTTGGGAAAACCGTGAGTCGGATCAGTTGGAAAAGATATAGCAACTTAATTCAGTATAGTTTGGAGGTTTGGAGTTAGTTTGGTGGTTGTAGTATGAACGGTCTAGGAGGAGATGTGTTCTAAAAGTAGTCTAAAAAGAAGAGGATGAAGTGTATGAGGTGTAACATTATGGTGCTTGAGAAAGTCAACACACTAAGGAAAACAATGTTCACCTGTGAATGACACACATAATGCTGCACTGCTTGTTTTATTCCACCTTAATTACCTTATATTACACAATACTGCTCAGTCTGATGTAAAAGTAGCTGTCTAGTCTGTCTCAGGCTGTGTGTATAGTTGAAGATGTGTAGCACATGTATAGTTAGTACAGTTAGATTAGCGCTCGGGTATGTCAGTGACGTACAGGTTTATAATATCTCTTTATCCAGTCGTGTGTTCATATTAATGATTATGTTTATTTATGTGAGGCACCACATTTCCTCTGCTCTGTCTGTCCACACATGTAGAGGAATTATTGACAATCTGATTATGAACATAGTGCTGATATCAGAGATGCTCACCCTCCAGAGAGTGAAGGCTCTTCTCTCGGGCCGTGTCGTAAACACTGCTGAAGCCGTCGCCCAGGTTTGGGTCTGCACCCGCATCCAGCAGCAGCTTGACCACACTGACACACACCCCACACACACACACACACACACACACACACACACACACACACACACACACACACACACACACACACACACACACACACACACACACACAAACACACACACACACAAACAAACACAAACACACACACACAATATTTAACATCTGAGCAACACCTCATTTGAATAATGATTGATTATAATGAGCTTCTATAATGAAGGTGTTATAATAAATAAAGCTGTATTAAAGTTTCACAGAACATCAGCAGCGGCTCTGAGTGAACTATGACCACACTGTTAAACACTGATACTGCTTTACACAGATGCCAGAGAAACACACTGACATACGGACACACACGCGCACACACACACACACACACACACACACACACACACACACACACACACACACACACACACACACACACACACACACACACACACACACACGCACACACGCACACGCACACACGCACACACAGCTGCATCTGTGAACATGTTTACAAAACACACCTGATAATGTGCTCTTTCCGCTCGCGCTCTCTCTCTCTCTCACACACACACACACACACACACACACACACACACACACACACTGTGACTGAACACACACAGAAACTCTTTCTCTCTCACACACACATTGAACACACATAAACACTCTCTCACCCACACACTAAACACTATTTCTCACACACACTGAAGTGCAAGCACACAGACTCACAGAAAAAACACAGAGTGAGTAAGTAATGCGACTTGCTTTGTTTACCAATTAAGTGGATCTAATTAGATTTGCATGGTAAACATTAAAAGTAAAAAATGTATCATTTTTGATTTCATGTATTAAGTTTTTAGTAACGATGCTTCCAAAACCACTCTGCATAAATCCACCGATTCTTTACTAAAAGTCTGCGCAGAAATATCCAAAAATATCTGCAGATTCCGTCTGGCCACACTCATTATCTGAAAGCTGCAGATCAGACACAATCATTAGTATTTTTTGATTTGTTAACCCCACTGAACTCCAATAAAACTCTCAGCGTTGGCGGTTGCCAGATGTGCAGAAGCTCCTCCATTTCTCTTCATTGAGTTCAAGTAAAAGGCTGCACAATGCTCCGCACTTCACGCACTATAATGAATGCACATTAAAGGCATGTTTGCGAGCGTTTGGTGTGAGTTCATGCTTTGTGACCCCGTTCCCACCCACTCCAGAATAATCCAGCACATTCCCAGCGGATAATCCTGCGCTCGCTCCGCCGGAACGGTCAACACGGGTTCCTCTTCAGTGCGGGTCATTGTGCACGTGAATACACAGATCTGGGTGGCGGCCGGCGCTGGGTTAAGAGTGCAAACAGTCTCACACACATCAAAGCTCTGCAAACAGCGATGTCTAAAGCACATCCTTCTGCTTTTACAACGGCAACAGTGGCCACTTTGATCCGCGCGACTCGCTAGAAAACGACGCATTTAAAAAATGCATAAAACTGCAGACAGGCAATGCAGAAAACAGCTAAATCACAGCAATACAACATGCACAATCGCAACTTTATTATCGCTCGCACTGGACGGATTTGGACTATGTATCAGATTGCAAAACTCAAGTACTTATAGTTATTAGTTACTATTTTGATGCATTATATGAATACATAGTATTCACACAATGACCGTTGTTTACAATTTATCATTTTTTGATATACATTTGTATTTTTAAAATACTAATATGCTAAAATACGTAATCAGATTACAGTTACTTTTTATAGATTACTTGTTATTTATACAAATCGCAGTAAGTTGGTCAGACTTTTGTTAACGTTAATATTTCTAATATTTTCGTAATCAGATTACAGTTACTTTTTTATAGTTACATATTATTTACACAATTTCAGCCGTTCACAATTCTTTTGTTATATTTTTATTTTTGAAATACCTGTAATTAGATTACAGTTACTTTTCATAGATTACTTACTAACAAAAATCGCAGTAAGTTGGTCACAATTTAGTGACTTTAATGTTTATATTTTAAAAATACTCGTAATTAAATTACAGTTACTTTTATGGATTACTTACTACTTACAAACATCACAGCAAGTTAGTCACAATTCAGTGACTTTTTTAAACGTTTATATTTAAAAAATACTCATAATTAGATTGCAGTTACTTTTCATAAACTATTTTAAAAAATGGCAGTAAGCGACACAAATTGGTCACAATTTAATGACCTTTTTTAACGTTTATATTTAAAAATACTCGTAATCAGATTACAGATAAGCAATGAAGAAAAAAGCTGAATCACAGCAATATAATGTGCCAAAACTCAATTTTGATATCGCTCGCACAAAACGGATTACATGTAATCTGATGGCAAAAATCAAGTACTTGTAGTTACGACAGTTACTTTTTTAATGTTTATATTTAAAAAATACTCATAATCAGATTACAGTTACTTTTATGGATTACTTACTACTTGCAAAAATTACAGCAAGTACTCGTACAAAATACTCGTAATCAGATGACAAACAAGCAATGTGGAAAAAAGCTAAATCACAGCAATATAATGTGCCGAAATTTTTATATCGCTCACACAGATCGGATTACATGTAAGCTGATGGCAAAAATCAAATACTTGTAATTACTACAGTTACTTTGTGATGGATTACATGATTACACATTATTTAAACAATAGCAGTTGTGCACAATTCATAGTTTTTTAACATTTGTATTTTTAAAATACTCGTGATCAGTTTACAGTTCCTTTTCATAAATTACTTCTAAATTGCAGTAAGTTAGTCACAATTTAGTGACTTTAACGTTTATATTTTAAAAATACTCGTAATTAGATTACAGGTACTTTTTAGATTACCTACTACTTACAAAAATCACAGTAATTTAGTCACAATTTAGCGACTTTTATAACGTTTAACGTTTATATTTTTAAAATACTCGTAATTAGATTGCAGTTACTTTTCAAAAATTATTTCATACTTACAAAAATTGCAGTAAGTCGGTCACAATTTAATGATTTTTTTAAATGTTTATATTAAAAATACTTGTAATCAGATTACAGGTGAAAATTTTTGAAAAAAGCTAAAATCACAGCAATATAATGTGCCGAAACTCAATTTTGATATCGCTCGCACAGAACGGATTATATGTAATCTGATGGCAAAAATCAAGAACTTGTAGTTACTACAGTTACTTTTTTATTGTTTATATTTAAAAAAATAATCGTAATCAGATTACAGTTACTTTTATGGATTACTTACTACTAGCAAAAATTACAGCAAATTAGTCACAATTTAGTGACTTTTTAAACGTTTATATTTTAAAAATACTCTTAATCCGATTACAGTTATATTTTATATTTTAAAGATACTCTTAATCAGATTACAGTTACTTTTATGGATTACTTACAAAAATCACAGCAAGTTAGTCTCAATTTAGCCCAAGTGAACCGTGCTCTGACACACCTCTTCCGACTGGGCCAGGGCCAGGGCCGGCCAACTGTACCATGCCTGAGCCCGATTCAGAGCACTCACACTTCTCAATCCAGGAAACGGGCCTGGGCATGGTTCGGACAGCATAGTGTAAGTGCGCCCTAAGAGTCAAATTAGGGTGTACTCACACTATATGCTATCCAAACTGTGAGCTGGCCCATTTCCCAGATGAATAATAATCTATTAATCTAGATAAAATAAATAATAATCTTTAGTTATTTTAAGCATTTATAATTTATTGTAGTTTTCTATAATAACCAATATTCTGAATTAACTTTATTTTTAGTTAGTAACCACAATAGTATTAATAAAAAATATACTATTAAATCAAATATAATAGTTTTATAGTTATTTTTAATTTTTGACTTGATCAATTTGTGTAGTTTTTGATAATAACTTTTATTCTGAATTAACTTCTGAATTAAATTTGGTAATGTTTAATCGTGTTAGTTTCAATAAAAAAAACTCTACAGTCTATTAAATTGAATCGATTTGTTGAGTTACTCTTATTTTTAGAGATTTTGTAATAACTGGTAT